GAGGAGGAGGAGGACAGGAGCAGAAGAGTGGCGGAAACAGCAGCAGCACGAGTAGTAGGTCGCAGTGGTTGTCGTCGTCGGTGTGGTAGTGATAACGGCAAGGCTTACGTGAGCCACAGACATGGCAAGGATATTGCTTGAAATGCTGTGTGCAATTGAAGACTAAACGCAGACTAGGCAGCGTGAACAAACAGAAGTCATCAGAAGGAGAGAGATCTTCACAAGAAGAAAGGATCAGGCTTGTAGTGCTGAAGGAGCAGGGGGAGATTCTGGTTACACCAGGCTCCAAAATACATGGGGTTCTCCTCTGTGGATCGGGACTCCATATAAGTTTCATCTTCAGTTGCGTCTCAGACTTGGAGTATGGGCGTCGGGCTTTGGAGTTTGAGTTGGGAATTCTGATCTTGGGTAGGGCTTTTGCGGCAATCGAGGGGTTGGGTCGAAAGCCATCGACAGCCTGAGTCGTCAAACACTGTAAACACAATGAAGCAGGGAAAATGCAGAGGTCGCTCTTGCACCCGCCAGCCCTGTTCTTGTGCAGCCGTGAGTATGGCTCCTGGGCGTGCTTGCCACTAGCCTTGAAACGAAGAATGAAGAGGTGTATATAGCCATAGATTTCAATGGATGGAAACCGACTCCATGTCCAAGACATGCTGGGAGCTTGGTTGCGAAGATGGTAAGGGCATATTCCCCCCTTTTGAAAGGCCCCCCCCCCACCCTGCCGAAAGTCCCCAGGTTGGCCGATGAAGCTCCGACTCCGGTTCTCTTTCTCGCGGCCTTGGAGCTCACGCTGCTGCTCCTCGCGCTGTGCTTTCCGGGAGCTGTGCCGGAAGTGGGATTTCTTATGCTGGCACTGCTAGCGATGGCGCATTTCAAGCGAGATGTCTGGCAGCATGTGTTCACGGAGCTCGGAGACAAAAAGCTCAAGTCAGAGAGCGACTCTGCACTTGACAGCCGCCGATTGGCGCACAGGAATCTGCAAAGCTTGTTCCTGGAGCTGCTGCTGCTGTCCGTTAATGTCGCGGCGTCCTTTGTGAAGTTTTCACCATGGATCGCGGAAGCTTGCAGCGCGGCTCTCATCGCTGACGCCGTGCGAGCCCTTCTGCAGACGGCAGGAACACCCCAGGTCGGACTCCGGAGTCCTCCTCTCCTCCTCCCGCTCCAACTCCGATTACTATAACTCCTCCTCCCGCTCCTACTCCTACTCACCTACGCCTACTCCTACAACCACTACCACCTTAACCAATCCTTCTGCTACTCTGCTCGTGCCAGGATTGGTATTTTCAGCATGTCCAACATGGATATTAAGATGACGGTTGTTGACGGCGTTAGCCGTTCGTGCTGCAGCTCTAACTACGTGATTGTTGCGAGCACGCAGATGGTGTTTGCTACGTTGCAGTGAGTGCCCGCTTCCGCGCTTGGGTGTTGTTGACCCGTGGCATGGTTTTCGCCGTAGGCCTTCTCGTTTGCCAGAATGTGGGCGCTGAGGGCATGCAGACCCAGCTTGGAAGCTGCTGCGAAGCCAAGCAATAAACACAAACATCGTGATTAGTCAAGTTTGGGGCTTTCAAGCAGAGTCCTGGCCAACCCCCAAGATACCCTGAAAGCTGAGCCGCTGCTGGAGGCGGAAGAGCAGAAGAACACTCCTAAAGAGCCGGCACTCCAGGCTGATCAACAGCCCGCAAGTGCCACTCGGATGTCTCTACTTCGGTCGCGTAAGACCCCATCAGCTCGGAGAACATCCGGAGCTCCCCAAAAGAACGTACCCACATGATCCCACATGCATCTCCCTGAGGATCCCGCGCCGAAAACCGCAGCGCCGACTGCGGCTCCCGAGCGGCAGCCGAAGAAGCTGAAGAACTTGGAAGTGAATTTCTGGGCCGACCTGGAGGAGCGAGCTTTCTGAAGCGGGGGAAGGCTAATGCTACATTGCTAGGGATGGCCTACGTTTACAGTTTGCAGCTGTGCGGTGTTGTCTACAACACTGCGCATGCTCCGGATGCTTCAAAGGCATATGTGTTCGCTGGCGGCATGCGAGTGATCGCTCACTAGGCTTATCTGAGGGCCTTTTTTTCGCCGGCGGCCGGCGCGTCGTGATGAACTCCGATTGCAAGCATATCTTGTCTGCCGTTTTCGTGCACTGGAGCTTCTCCGGTACACGATGGTCGCCCTTTTTAAGGGCCTGATCGAGTGGTCGTAACCACCGATGGGAGGAGCAGGTTGACGTCTAACAGTCTAACAGCTACATACGCTTGCAGTTTGCGGTCCTGCCGCTGTGCCGTTGAAAGTGTTGCAATCGTGGTGTCCTCTTCCTTGTCCCTGGTCGTTGCCGCTTCGTCGTAGTGGTGATACTTAGTTGTAGTGTCGGTCGTGGTGATTGCGGTGCCATATGATACTGTAGTAATAGGCAGTGACAGTGGGGTGGTGGTGGTCACCATCGCCGACAACGGCAATACCAACAGCAACAGCAGCAACAATAAGCGGTGCTGCTGAGGATATGCGCAGATCCTCAAATCCTCGGGGCTCTGAGACTCCCTCTATCGAGACCAGACCCGAAGCATCTCCGAATAGGAAACTGCATCCGGCACCGCGGTTGTTTTCTGCGCAAACATCAAGGCTGAACAGCATGCCTGTAGAACTCGAAGCTTAGTTTGCAAGTGGACGTCTGGAGTCTGTGCAGCGCACACAGCCAGGAAGAGGACGACTTTCAGCAGATGCTGGCTGCGAAAGTTCGTGAGGAGGCAGCACCACATGTAAAGGATAAGAGCGGGTTGGTCGCTATTGCTCCCATCGCCGGTCCTTCCCACACCGCTAGCTCGGCAAAACATAACTGGAGGCGCCTGCCTCATCCTTCATTTGCAACAGGTGGCGAGAGGTTGGTTTTTGAGAAAGCTTCCACTGCCGATCAACAAAGGGGCAACAAGAATGACAAGACTGAGAAGGCTAAGGATGAGAGCAATACTGATATTCCTAGTCATCATCAGAATCATACTACTGATTTGCGGAAGATCGATTTTGTTGCCAGGTCTCAGCACCCAAAGGCGCGCCGGCTGCTCCCAAGGCTCCGGATGCAGAGGCCAGACTAGGAGATCAAATATCTGTTGGGGCGTCTTCCGGGTTTCCAGTTTCAGCTCATGTTCTGTACCGTGGATACCGGCGCAAGTTCTGGCAGCTCTAGCAGGCGTTTGTTCTGCAGGTAGCACCAGAAAGCACTGCTCTGAGTCGGATCAACGTGGCAGGCTGTGGAGTCATTGGAAGTGCCTGCTGCTCCTGCAGATGCGGAGGACGGGTCGTGAACCGAGGTCACACAGACAGACGTTCCAACTTCCTGACTTTCTGAGGGCAGATTCAATCAATGGTCAGGCCACGGAGTTGAGTTTTCAGTAAATGTGTGCGTTGGGAGTCTCGGTCTTGAGTATCGAACTCGATAATAAGCTTACCCACTAACCTCGTGCAACTCAAGCTTGGTAAGCAGTTCATGACAACTGCGGAAATGTTGACCATGTTGATCTCTGCCTGTCATAGTCCGATGATGCTGATTCATCTCAGGTTCTTGGGATGCATGCTATTCTCGCTGTTATGATTGTCGCCCTTGTGAGTTGCAAGAGTTGTTGTGTATTGTAGGGTCTGAAGTTATACTAAACAGTATCATACCATCGCCTCAAACCCTATTTCAATTCTGAGTGCGCCTTCTAGTCATTCCAGTCTCAATTATACGTTCAGTCACAATGGACCCAAACCCTGTTTGGAATTTAAAGGTCCTTAAACTAAACCTTTACTGTCACCCTTAATAGAAGCCTTTGAAGGAGCCCTTTTCTAAATTTTATGACCCTAATGTCCCTCAACCCTAAACCCCAAAGCCTGATCCTTAAGCCCTGGACCCTAAAACCTAATTCTTGAACCCTACACCCCAAACACCCTAATCATCATTCACCTGGTGGCGGTCCTTCGCCGAAGGACGCTGCCGGCGCAGGTGGCGAGGCGTCGAGGTCCAGGGCCTTAATGAGTTTAGGGTGGTTGTCAAAATTATGG